CCCACCTCCCCCGTGATGACTATCAGTTTGTTCTCTGTAGTTGAGTCTGTTTCTTGCTTTGCCTCTCTCTCTCTTTTTTCCCTTTGCTCATTTGTTTTGTTTCTTAAATTCCGCATATGAGTGAAATCATATGGTGTTTGTCCTTATCTGACTGGCTTATTTCACTTAGCATAATACTCTTTAGCTCCATCCATGTCATTGCAAATGGCAAGATTTCATTCTTTTTGATGGCTGAGTAATATTCCATTGTGTGTATATACCACATCTTCTTTATCCATTCATCAGTTGATGGACCCTTGGGCTATTTCCATAATTTGGCTATTGTAGATAATGCTGCTATAAACACTGGGGTGCATGTATCCCTTTGAATTAGTATTTTTGTATTCTTTGGGTAAATACCTAGTAGTGCAACAAACTGATTGTTACCGGGGGAGGGGGGTGGGGGGAAGGATGGGCTAAATAAGTGATGGGCATTAAGGAAGGCATTTGTGATGAGCCCCAGGTGTTGTATGAAGTGCTGAATCACTATACTGAGCACCTGAAATTAATTATGCTCTATGCTAACTAATTGAAATTTAAATAAAAACTGAAAAAAATAAAAGGCTATTCTTTCTCCATTGAATTGTCTTGGTACCCTTGTCAAAAACAATTTGACTGTAAATGTGAGCATTTACTTCTATACTCTTAATTCTATTCCACTGATGTATGTCTACCCTTATGCCAGTACAACACTGTCTTTTTTAAAAAAAGATTTTTATTTAGTTATTCATGAGAGACAGAGAGAGAGGCAGAGGCAGAGGGAGAAGCAGGCTCCCCGAAGAGCAGGGAGCTTGGTGCGGGACTTGATCCCAGGACCCTGGGATCACAATCTGAGCCAAAGGCAGACACCCAACCGACTGAGCCGCTCAGGTGCCCAACACTGTCTTATTTATTATATATATATACACTTTGTAGTAACTTTCGAAATCAGGAACTGTGAGGTTTCCAACTTTGTTCTTCTCTTTTAAGATTGTTCTGGCTATTTTATCACATTTCCATATGAATTTGGCGGTCAGTTCCCCGATTTCAAAAAAAAAAAAAAAAACGGCTGGGATTTTGAAAGGAATTGCATTGAATCTATAGATCAATTTGGGAGTTATTGCCCTCTTACTGATATTAATAAGTCTTCCAATCCATGAACCACAGGATATCTTTCCATTTATTCCATTTATTTAATTTCTTACAACGTTTTGCAGTTTTCAGAGTATAAGTTTAGCACTTTGTTATATTTTCACCTAAATATTGTCTTCTTTCTGATGCTCTTGGAAATGAAATTACTTTGTTACTTTCATTTTGGATTATTTTTTTTTAAAGATTTTATTTATTTGTCAGAGAGAGAGAGCATAAGCAGGGGGAGCGGCAGCCAGAGGGAGAAGCAGGCTCCCGGCTGAGCAGGGAGCCCGATTATGAGACCCAATCCCAGGACCCTGGGATCAAGAGCGGAACCGAAGGCAGACGCTTAACCGACTGAGCCACCCAGGCGCCCCTCATTTTGGGTTTTTTAATTGATGGTTCATAGACGTGCAATTGATTTTTGTATTTCAATTTTGTATCCTGCAACTTTGCTGAACTATTAGCCCTAATAGTTCTTTTTCGTGGACTCCTTCTGATTGTCTTTATTCAAGATCATATGACCTGTAAATAAAAATATTTTTATGTATTCTTTTCCAATCTAGATGTCCTTTGTTTTATTTTCTTGCCTAATTGTCCTAGCTTAAAACCTCTAGTACAATATGGAATAAAAGTGTCTTGTTCCTGATCTTACGGGTAAAGCTTTCAGTCTTTCAACACTGAGTATGATGTTAGCTGTGGGGTTTTCATAGATGTCCTTTATCAGAGTGAGGAAGCTCTGTTCTATTCCTAGTTTGTTGGGCATTTTGACCATGAAAAGGGTATTGAATTTTTTCAAATGCTTTTTCTGTGCCTATTGAGATGATCATGTGATTTTCATCCTTTGTTCTATTGATATATTCAGCGTGATTTTGAAGAACATGGTATATTGTAAGAACTACTGGAGGACTCTTTTAGCCATACAGTATGAAAGTTTCTTTACTTAACCAAAAGCATGTTTCACAAGACATTGTTAAATGCTTTTTCTGAGCCTAGGAAAAGACATCCTTGGGAGCAATCCAAGTGGGGAGCCACTAGGAGGAGCGGTTGAGAGATATGCCAAGATGCTCCTCCAGAAACATTTTGTAATTAAAATCCAATTTTTAATCCCATGACTTTAAACATATCTTCTTCTATTTTAGGGAAGTTGCAAAAGGGGAGATCCTAAAAAGTTAGTGAACTCCATTACTGTATGCAGAGTAATTTAAACTGGCCAGAAATGCTTGTCAAATGCTCCTTTTTCTCCCAGGGAGTAAAGATACATATGGCTGGGTGGTATTAGTGTTGAGCCTGAGTGATACTGGATGTCAAGGCAGAAAGAACAACGCACTCCAGAAGCTTGCTTGGGGCTGGGGGGTGGGGGTGGGGGGTGGAGGGAGAGCTCAGATACGATGTACTCAATGGGATAATTTCCAGAGAAAAAGGAACCTCAAAGAGAGGCTTGGACCTAGTGACCTGACTGAAGGTAAGGAAAAGAGACAAAAGAGTACCCTGATTAGGGGCACCAGTTTTGACATAGACTCCCTTGCTCTGAACCCCAGCGCTACCATCTACTACTTGGTGACGTCACTTCCCTGATCATCAGTATCCTCACCTATGTCACAGGTACAGAGTTATTCAGAGTAAATGAGATTGTGTTTTAAAGCCTCTAGCAAAGTGCCCAGCCCATAATAGCCATTCCATAAAAATTGACATCCCCTTTTCCTCTCTTATTCAGGAAAGAATGTTACTGACCAGAGAGGATGACCTCGGGTCAGAGAGTGAAGGAGTCAGGAGCAAGAAGCTGATTTTTATCTGACTTCCCAGATGTAAGGTCATGAACCCTGGAGATATATGTTTGGGCTCACAAGGGAGCAACTTAAATCATTTACACAAGAATATAATTAAGAAAAAGTATTTGGTGGGGCGCCTGGGTGGCTCAGTTGGTGAAGCGTCAGTCTCCTGATTTCGGCTCGGGTCATGATCTCGGGGTCGTGAGATTGAGCCCCGCATCCGCTCTCAGTACTGGGAGTGGAGCTTGTTTAAGATACTCTCTCTCCAACTCCCTCGCCCCCCGCCCACTCAGCTCCCACTGCGCAGGTGCACTCGCTCATGTGCTCTCACTCTCCCTCTCTTTAAAAAAAAAGAAAAAGTATTTGGTATCAGAGTGCTTTCAGGTACATGTTAACAAGCTGGCTTACACAATAAAGAAATGTCTTATCTCACACAATAGGACCCTGAGAGTGTGCGCGGCAAGGTTAGTTGATTTCAGCAGCTGCATAATTTCATGCAGGGCGCAGTTTCGTTGGCCCCTCCTTTCACCCTTTAAAGTGTCCAATTCATCCTAGGGCTGGTTTCTCCTGTGATTGTAAGAAGGCTGCTTGTAGCAATCACTATATACAGACTTATTCACATCCAGTGGGAAAGACATAAACTAAAAATCCTTCATTTCAGTCTTGCTGGCGTCCCCATTGGTCATCGTTTGCCCCTGAATTTATGAATAACTATCATCACAGGGTCTGTCAACTGTAATCGGCTTAAGCCTGGATTCCTAAACCATCGCCAGCAAGAGGGAGGTTAATTGCCGTAACTGATTTACACTCATAACGGGGGCTATGCAGTCTGGGCCCTAAAAGGAGGATGATCACTGAGGTGTGGAGCAGAACCCCCCAGGCAATCGGCAATGGAAATGTAGTGTGAGGATCAGACTTTAGTGAATGTAAGCCACTAAGGGTTTTTTGGATTATTTGTTACTGCAGTATAGCCTAACTTACGTAACAATAGAAAACATAAATAAAGTGTTGTAAACTATATTGAGAGGATGGAGAGAAGTGAAAATGTGGGTGTAAGTGAACTAAATCTTCATCTATGAAAGCAGGAAGTCAGTTAGATGATTTTTAAAAGGAAAATAAATAGTATTTGCAGCCATTTTATTTAGAAATATGAGGGAACCTACCAGTAAAGGAACCCACCCCCCAAAAAAACTTGCCAAAAAAAATTAAGTGGCACCTGGCTGGTTCAGTCAGAAGAGCATTTGACTCTTGATCTCGTGGTTGTGAATTTGAGTCCCATGTTGCATGTAGAGATGACTTAAAAATAAAATCTTAAGGGGCATCTGGGCGGCTCAGTCCGGGAAGCCTCTGCCTTTGGCTCAGGTCATGATCCCAGGGTCCTAGGTAGGATTCAGCCCCACATCGGGCTCCCTGCCAGGTGGGGAGCCTGCTTCTCCCTCTCCCTCTGCCTGCCACTCCCCCTGCTTGTGCTCTCTCTCTCTCTCTGTCAAATAAATAAACGAAATCTTTAAAAAAATAAAAATAAAATCTTAAAAAAAATTAAAAGTTATTGCCTAGGGAGTAGGCCTGGGGTAGGAATTGGTGTGCCAAGAGAATTTTTGTTTCATTATAAACTCTTTCAGATTTTTAAATTTTTTTATGTTTTTATGTTAAAATAACGTGCCTTTATTCCTTTGATAATTGTTTTAAATTTCCATTGATTTGACTTTATTTTATACAAGCTCTTAAAAAAATCATTTCAGGCCCTGGAAACATGACCATAAAATCTTCCTGAAATGGTAGTCATGCTTTGGTTGACTCAGATACCTAATTTATACCTAATTTAGTCCTAACGAACACTTCACTTTTGACTACCGGACCGTCAAACTGGTAATCTGACAACCAGCTTCAAAATTAAGACAAGAGCAAAAGAATGTTCTCATTTGTGCCATTTAATAACGTTTCAGAGAGGAAAAATACAACGAAAGGGCCTCTGCTCAGCACATAAAGTAATTTCAACTTGTTACAAAATGGATTATTTGCTGACCTGGTGTCGTTCCTGAATAGATTTTTCCAGGGGCCAGAGCTGCAGGTTTTTCACTAATGGATTCCTCTTCTATCACGGGCCTGAGCCTGTTTTCCAGAGCCACCTCTACCAACATCAAAATCTTCACAAAACGCGTTTCTTACTTGGTCCTCAGGTCGGTGGCCATACTGTCTGCCCTCTCTAAAGGCTAGATCCCAATCTGTGTGGATAATACGATCATCTAGGCGGGTCCCGTTTAGGAACCACATGGCATTTTCGGCATCAAGTCTGTTATAGTACTCTGCAAAACAGAAACCCCATGCCTTTTTCTTAATTTTATCCAGGCCCATAAATACACGCTTGATATCACCACATCTACTAAAGAGCTCATATATTTGCTCTTCGGTAGTATGAAAGGAAAGATTCCCCATGTAGAGTGTGGAGCTTTCCTTCAGTAATTTCTCCTGATCATCATTATCCCCATCAAACTGCTGGTCCCAGCACTCGCCTTGCAGAATTCTCAGGTCGTTGGACACGGTGCCCAGTGGACACCGTGAGGGCGGCTGTTTGCGATCCATCTTAGCAGCAATGACACCACCAACAAAACCTTAAATTAAATTTTAAAAAAAATTAAAGTTACAGGGAAGGAAACAGAAACACATACCTGTGTATATTTAAGAGGTTTGTGCCCTGATGCACAGACACCATAGCTCTTGACTATGAGGATCATGTCAAGGCAAACGCAAAATGGAAAGTTCCAGGTCCCAGGAACATGGTGATAAAATGCAACTTTGCAAGTCTTCTTGCAAGGGAACCTATGCTGTCTTCGGTTGACTCAGCTCTTACCTACCTAATCTATTACGAAAGAACACATTTAATAACAGAATGCTCTTGGAAAATATGGCATAAAGCAGTAAAATGGATCAAATTTTCATGGAGAATGAGCACTACCATCATTCCTATTGGAGGCCCAGGCATCTGATAAATCAGGTATATATAATCAGGGTCAAAGCACAAATACAGTTGTAGTATACCCTCTCATAACTTAAAATACCAAATTTACCATTCAAGCCTATAATATGGAAATCGATATATTGCACTGTTAGGTTAGACAAAGAGTCCCTATATGGACACTATCAAGTGTACATGGAGCTCTGTAAAAGAGAAAACTTTCTGGCATCATAAATTTGACCTAAATTAAGATTGGATTTTACTAGCAGTAAATCTACTTTTCATCTTAGACTTTAGAAGGCCTTAGATGTAATGACTTGACTATTCCATCTATTTAAAAAACCTCCCCAGAGAATTTTAACTAATGCCCTTTTCCCCCTTTACTAAATTTTCCTGCTGCAGTCAGAGGCATTAAAAATGATTCCATCGGTTTTAGCTGCACTTTTCAAAAATAGGCATTAGTTCTACCCCCCTCTCCTGTTTTGCAACAGTTCCCAAATTTTAGTGTGCAAGAAATACCTGCAGAACTAGATGGAAATGCAGATTCTTGCAGCCTGCCCTTCAGAGATTCTGACTCAGTACCTCTAGAGTGAGATCCAGGAACTCACGTTCAACATCTAACCTGCACCCCTCAGCCCTCCGTGATCCAGATGCAAGTGGTGCAAGGACCACACCTGGAGGAACCCTGCTGAGGACATGCTTTCTCTTAAACACTTAATGAACACTCTTTATTTGCCAGGTGCTATGCAAGGTGCTATGAATCCAACAACAAAAAGACATGGCAGCAGTACAATGTTCAGAAATTATTTGTATCCCCAGCTCTAAGCATGAACAATGATCTGCACACACACACAGTAGACATTGCAATAAATATCTGTCAAATGAATGCATGCATGAGTTCAGAATTGAGGGAAGAAGCCAGACAAGTAAACAAGAAAATACAATATGGCATGATCGACACTGGTGTAGAGATATCCATGGAGGAAAGGGAAGAAGGGAAGGAACATTTACTGGGGATTTACTCTGTGATGGGCACTGTGGGCACTTTGCACTACATTACGCAGGAGGAGGAGAAGCAGTTACCCAGTGTGGGGGCATCAGAGAAGGCTTCTGAGGAGGGGCTGTAATGCACTGACTCTCAATGGACAAGGAGGGTGTGTGTGTGGTGTGTGTGTGTGTGTGTGTGTGTGTGTGTGTGTGTGTGTGTTTGGAAGGAGGATGTAGAAATTTCGGGAATGAACCAGACACAGAAAATATGTGCAAGAGCAGAACACAAAGGAAAATTAAATAGAAAACTGAAATAGAAGCCTAAATAAAACCAGGTGCAAACAACAGTGCTGTGCAATTCAAAGCAATGAAAATGGGGGAGCTCTGCCTATTTAGATGTCATTTGAAGAGCAGTAGGAAGCCCACTGCCCAAAAACCATCTTCCTGATGGCCTGTCAATGATGGCTGAAAGTCTGCCACTAGAAACTCATTACTTTGAGTCATTGACAAATTGACCCGTTAAAAAACAAATATCCCTCCCAGACTTCCTTTCCTTTTTTTAAAAAAAATCTGGTTACTAGACTGGCAGATCAGAGAATGTGATAGCTAGAGTGGATTTCATTTCACCCAGGCATTGGACAAAGTTTCCCATTATTTTCTTGTAAATGAGATGGCAGCGTATAGGCTGGATGCTCCAGCTGTTTGCTGAGATGAGCCTATAACTAGTTGAATAAACGGAAGGGCTTGGTGTCAGACCAGAAGGGAAGTTCTAGCAGTGAGCCAAAGACTCTATTCTTGGCTGTGTCTTGTTCAGCTCATTTATAATTTTGGCTTACCACAAACAAGAGCTTTTAAAATGGTCAAAACTGCCTAAGATGGAATGGGCTGGCTGGGGTAGCAGTGAGCACTAGGCACTGAGGATTTCAAGCCAACTTTGGAAAGCCCCTTGCAGAACAGTCAAAGCAGTGGAGAGGCCCCCTTTCCTTCAGTGTTGTGTATGAATCAAGCATGAATTTTGAAGTCAAAAGACTTCAGTTCAAATCTCAGCCTCACCACTTACTAGAAACGTGACCCTGGGCAAAGTGCTTAACCATACTAGTTTCAATTTCCACATCTGTAAACCGGGGATCAAAATATCTACCTTGCAGCATATGCTGTGACAGTGTCATGTGTAAAAAAAAAAAAAAGAAAAGCACCTAGCACAGTGATTAACATGGTGTAGGTGTTCAATAAACGGCAGGTATTAGACAAATTATTCCATTCTGTGATTCAGTGACTCAGAATAAGACATATGAATACCTATCAACTCTTCCAGTGACTTGAGGTAGGAGGGACTTTGAATGCATCTGGGCGGCCTTGGATGATGCTAAATCCAAACTGACAAGGTGATGGATAATACTTAATAAATGTCATTTATTACTTTTAGATTTGACACATGGCAAAGGGACAGAGGGAGAGAGATCTGGAAAGAGCACAGGCTTGGGAGCCCTATTTTATCATTGGGGCATCCCATACTTCATTTTTTCCACTCATTTCTTCATTGGATAAACATTCATGGATCACTGTGCTAGATCCTGGGGAAATAACAAGAGATAAGATATGCTTCTGCCCTCAAGGAGCTCACAGGCTGGGGGCCCAGACAGCTTAAAAGAGAAATAACAACCAAGGTGATTATTTTACTTCCAGGAGCACAAAGGCAGCCCAGAGGTAGCACAAAGAAGCGGGGGGGGGGGGGGTTTTCAGAAGGAAAAAAGGGGGGGGGGGGGAAACTTTCTAGAGGACATGACCCCCAAGTCTTTTTTTTTTTTTTAATGATCACATTGTATTTATGTTTCAAGTAAGCAATTCAGATGTCTGGTACAAAGTACAAAAGGTGCAAAAGGATGCAAAATGGAAGTGGCAAGCTGGTTTCCCACCTCTGCCCCAGCCACCCAGTTCTCTGCAGAGGCAAATTACTGTTACTAGTTTCTTGTGTAACTCTCTCCTGACCCACTCCAAGCTCAATTTTGAAAGTTGAGTAAGAGTTTGGCGGGAGGACAAGGAGTCATTCTAGGCAGAGAGAACAGTGTGTCCAAAGGCATGGAGGCATTGTGGGGTGCTTGGTTTGCTATTCTCTGGGCACACGAGGATAAGGAAAGCATTATAGGTCATCAGGAGGAGATAAGACTGGACGGGTAGTCTACGGCCATACCACCCTGAACGCGCCCGATCTCGTCTGATCTCGGAAGCTAAGCAGGGTCGGGCCTGGTTAGTACTTGGATGGGAAGACTGGACGGGTAGGCAGGGCCAGGTTGTGAAAGCCCTTGTAAGGCATAAAGAGCAGCTTGGACTCTACCAGTAAACAGTGGGGAGTCATATAAGGCTTGAAGCAGAGAGGAGTGATGTGATGTGATTCGCATTACAGAAAACTTATTCTAGCCCCCAGTGTGGAGAACAGATTAAAAGGGGGAGTAGGCCAAGAGGCAGGAGACTAGTTGAGAAGCTATTTAAATGGTTTAAAGAAAGAGGATGGAGAATCTGGACTAGTATGCTGTAGTAATATAAAGAAAAGACATATCAGGGGCGCCTGGGTGGCTCAGTCGGTGAAACATCTGCCTTCAGGCCCAGGTCATGATCCCAGGGGCCTGGGATCAAGCCCTGCTTCAAGCAACCTGCTCAGCAGGGAGCCTGCTTCTCCCTCTCTTCCCTGCTCATGCTCTCTCTCACTATCTCTCTCTCTCTCTCTCTCTCAAATAAACAATCTTAAAAAAAAAAAGAAAGAAAAGACATACCAGAGACTTAGAAGACAGACTTAAAAGTCTTGGCAACTGCTTGAATAAAGAGTCTAGGGTGACTCCCAAGTTTCAGGCCTGGACAACTGTGTGGATAGAGGTCTGCATCACCAAGATGGTGGTAGTGGGGTAGAGAGAGGATAGGGGGCAGATTTGAGTAAGGAAGATGAATTTGTGACACACGGAGCTTGGGTCTGAGGTACCTGCGGGACATACACGTCCCCACATGTTTAGTCACAATTGAATATTCAGGTTTGGAGCTCACAAGAGAGGTCTGAGGCTATAACTATGGAGTAGGGAGTCATCAGCACAGTAGATAAAACCATAGGGATGGATAAGATGATCGGGGGAAAGGTATAGAATGACAAAAATCCTGGCAAAGACCAACATTTAAGGGGTGGCAGAGGAAAAGTCCACAAAGAGGCACAGGAAGGAGTAACCAAGAGGAATGAGGAGAATCAGGAGAGGAACAGCATGACCAAAGCCAAGGAGTAGGCACTTTCAAGAGAGGCATGAGGACGGAAGTGGAGTGAGGGCAATCCTTTGTTATCTGCAGCAGAGAGAGTCCCAGAAAAATCAAGACTTCAGATTGTTCATTAGGTTTAGCAATCAGGATGTCATTGGTTTCCTTAACAAGAGCAGTTAACAGTGGTGTTCTGGGGTCAGAAAAGCCAGACTGGGTGGGGGAAAGGGGGGGCTGAGTTTTGAATGGGAGGTGAGGAAATGAAGACAGCAAGTGCAGACTGCTCAGTTTTGATAAAGCTTCCTTGAAGATGGAAGGCAAGCAATAGGGTGAGTGCCAGTTGGGAACTTAGTCAAAGAAGAGTTTTGTTTGTTTGTTTAATGGGAGTCAAGCAGATCTAAATGCT